AATATGCCCACAGGACTTTTATTGAGAGATATACATGGGAGTGATGACTGCTCAGGAGTGACAAAAGTAGAATGATCAGAGAAAGAAGTTAAACTGTGACACAGTTTTCTCAGGTACTTCTGCCAACCCAGTGGGACCTCTTGAGCTGGAATGAGGCTTCAATACTGTTTCAGTTGAATAAAGTGGGTTAGGTCATTGTATCCTTACATCACCAGTGATTGTGTGTGAGCTGGACAAGAGAAGGAAAATAACCGTAGGTGAAGCAGCCTTTTTTAAAGCATAGAAGTGACTCAGTTATGAGGTTCCAGCAGCCAATACTCCTAGAACTGAAAGGAATAAACATACTGAACCACAACATCATGAAAGAATTTACTGGGGTTTAAGATTGTTCGGCAAGAGTAAGAAATCTAAGTTCCAGAGCAGTTTGAGATTTCCCAACTGTCAGAAAATGAGGTTTTCTATCAAAGCACAGGTGTAGGAGTGATAGTTAACACTGGACAGAGGTGAGCCACTTGATTTGGTACAAGTGCTGTTACCTGCTCTGCCTCCCTGCCCAACCACCTCTCCCTGGGGGTAGTACCTTAGATCCTTGTGCCTCCCACCAATCTGTAGGCTAACTTTGCCTTTGTCCAGGTGTTTCTCTAAGTCCTCTGGGATCTGCCAACTGATATTAGCATCCTGTCATCTCAGTGCCTGTTCACAGTCAACTTCCATACCTTGGGGAAAGATCAAGATAGGACTTTCAGGGTAAAAATGACAGAACCAGTGGTGAGATGGTGCAGCCAACATCAGGTGTGGAAGTTGAGGTCAGTCTTGGGGGTTATGGTTGGGGGAAGCCTACCAACAGCTGGATTTTTCTTCCCTCACAATCTTTGTTATGAAGATTTATTGTCTTGGTTTGTGTGGTTCTAGTTTAACACCTCTTAGCAATTTCAAGTTTATTTCCCTCTGAATCAGAGTAGTTGTTCTCTTCTGATATGACCTGAGCACTGTCATGAAGAGTTGAGAATATTGACAGAAATTTGGGGAGAAAACATTGTTATAAATAAACCTGTGAGATTACAGACACCTACTAATCTCATTAAACCTTCATGATCAGCTTGAGGCATTTACAGGGACATTTGGCATGGTCTTAAGTTGGCGTTCTCACCACTCATAGTACATGAGGATACAGCTCCTTTAGTCAAGGCTTGCCAGAGCTAGTAGTCATGTTTCAAGTCTTTGGAAACTTTATAGATCTTGAATGATGTGTTTGTTTTTCTCTTTAGAGTTCAGAGACTGCTATGCAGCCCTTTTGAATAAAAATTCTCTTCATCACTGTTACTCCCAATCTAGAGAAGGAGAGCATCATGGAGCTTGAAGTGGAGATGGGAAATGTCTAGAGTTGAGCAAGAGGGATGTAGCAGGGAAGGATGTAGTGAAAACTTTCTGGAAATTTTCTCCTTTTCCAAGTTCTCTCTGTCTTGCTGAATGTCATGCAAAGCTTACTCAACACTAAAAGATGCATCCTGAAATTAATTCCAGAGACCAGAAATATGTCCTGGTCAGGCATATTGTATGTGTCTCAGATTTTTTTTTTTAAGCTCTGTCTCTGAGAGCTTGATTTCTCTTATTTTCATCTCTTTTAGGTCATTGTCATAGATTCACTATTTTCTGTATCTTCTCCTAATATCTCTCTATGTTCTTGTCTGTCTCTTTTTCCAATTCTCAGGAAATTCAGTTCACTGTTAAGAAAGAGATTAAGGAGAGATGGTCAGATCACATCCCAGAGAGGAGCTTCCTTGCCCATTTAGAGGCGGTGGCAGAAGTGACTACTAGTGGCCATAAGAACCCCTCATTTCTGACACACATCTAGGATTCTTCCTACCTTCTAAGAATAGGAAGATTCAGCAGGGCCTGTTATATCATGAAGCACCCCTAGGGTGTTATTTTGCTTGAGGAACAATGAGTCACGTTGGCTCTATCCTTTGAGTTCCATCTGTGCCTTGCCAAGTTCTTATTTATTTATTGGTTAATTTAATCACGTGGATGTTAATTTATTTATTTAATGTTTCCAATTGCTAAATAGATTCCAGTCATGTCTGGAGTTGCCCTGAGACTGCTACAAGTAAGGTATAGTCACTATTCTTTAGGGACTGACATAGTGGTTTTTTAAAAAAAATAAATGTTATTTTATCCCATTGCCCCTCCCCCAAAATAGTAGTTTTATAGCATAAGGCAATCATTGGAATGATGAAGCAATAAAGAGATTATGATAAGAAAGAAAATTACACATGTCATATTGCCTTACAGAAATTAAGTACAACTTCACAAAATCTAGGTAGTTTGCTTTAAATCTACATGAATAAGTAGAAGTTAAATGATTCCAGTTCTTTGTCAGTTATTCTCTCTTCCTAGTGAGAGTTAAATACATCTTCCCCTTTAGGTTCCTGGGAATTTGGTCCCTTCTTCTTTTCCTCTGAGGATCACAGAAGCATCTCTTGTACTTTAGTTATTAACATTTAACAAGCAGCTCAAGGCTTTTCCTCTAAGTTAGCCCATCTTGCAGGTTATTCTCAGGCACAGGTATCTCTGCTTTTCTCCTTCACCCACAGTTGTTCGGGTTCAGCCTCACAGCCCCACTGACACAGCTTCTGTCTAAGCATGGGTGCCCCTACAACTGCATAGCTATTCTCTGATTTCTCAGCTAAAAATGAGAAATAGGCTGCAGCTTGTAGCACAGGAATTAGCTAAGAAAGAGAATTAAATTTCTCTCTTTAGAATGTTAAGCACTGAAAAGTGAATTTTTGTATGATTTTGAGATCCTCCTGGAGGTCTCAGTAGAAATATCACTGCTACTGACTTTGGAAGAAACACAAAGGCTAGTAGATACATGCCAACTGGGCATTTCAAATTTTATCATTATCATGATTATAGTTTTAGAGCAATATTATAGCCACTATTGATTTATGAAAAAGACTCACTGAGTAACCTGTAGATGTGCAATCCACATGAACAGAGATGATCCTAACTTCATCTTTACATGTGCATGCGAATGCCCCAATATTGGAAAATACTACTTCAGAGTTCATTTATCTTTTAAGGCAAACACACAGACACCAACATGTGGTTTCAGGTTTTTTATTACAATGTTTGAGGGGGGTGAATCATATAGATAAGGTTATATCACCAGTTTATTTGGTACTTGGAGATGTCAGACACACCGAGTTATTATAATATGCATGATGAAAGACAGACATATTGAAAATTTGAAACAGAGAAGGAAAGTCATGGAGGCAAAGAGGAAAAAGAAACCTGTGCTCTCATACTTAGTCATCCTTTAATGTTGATGTTAATGATAGGGATAACTATCATTTACAGAAAAACATGTATCAAGACTTTACATGCATCATTTAATTAATATTTATAATAAGACTGTATGATAAATATCTATTATATTATCAGGTGAAGAATTCAAGACTTAGCTGAAGTTTTCCACCAAAGTTTTATTCCTAGAATATGAAAAAGACAGAGCTTAGATCCAAGGTTTTCTGTCTCCAAAGTTTTATTTACCTCACTGCATTGTGAAGTGATCCCACATGCTAGCTTTTGATTACCAAGGTTAATGAACTATGATTCTGTCTCTTGAAATAAAGCATTAAGGTTCTGAAGGATTTTTACAGTAGAGACATTTGGAAATCTATGGATGAACAAAAGGGCATTGTAAAGAGCTCCTAACATAATGTGCTGCTCTAACAGAGTCAGGGAATCCTTCTAAATGGGAAGGAGTGGATTCTGACTTTTGAGGAATGAAATGGATCAATTTCGATAAAGGAGGAAGAATACACATGAGGAACGTGCAAAATAAGATTGTGTACTTATATAACTCTAAGAATATTGTAGAAGCTAAAGCAGAATACATGTGTAGGAATATATTACCTCTAAGACATAATTTATACACGAAAGATAAGCTTTGAAAACATTGTGTGCCTGTCTTAAATGTATGATTTTATTCCATGCATTTAGTTCATTGAAGGATTTTAACCACAGGAGCGACATGATATCCTGTGGATTTTTGGAAAGTCTGTAGTTTCAGGGTTGAAAATAGATTGGGAAGGGGATCATAGTAAAGGCAGAAAGACCTAATGAAACAATACAGATAAGAGAAATTTGGAGTGCTAACTAAGGCAGAGAGTGACATCAAGGGTTGAGAAAAAGAGGTACGTATAAGAGAGGTTAAAATATGGTTAATAGGAATTGGCGAAGGGGTAACAGGAAGAGTATATGAGGATAGTTTCCAAGTTTCTAGATCAAGTTGGATAGGTAGTGATGTAATCCACAAAAAGTTTGTCAAGAGATAGAAAAGATTGGGAATGGTAGGTAAATTTATCCAGTGTGGAATATGTTGAATGTATGGTGTATGTTAAAGAAGCAAATGGAAAATGGAGTTGTGGTTTAGAAAGGTATTTGACTCAAATACATATATTTAGAATAATGAAAAAATATAAATAGTTAAATCCATGGGAACGGTTGAAGTCAATTCAGAGATAATGTATGGAATAAGGAAGGGAGAAGAGGATAGAACTCTGCAATCAGCTTATAATGAGATGGAGAAGATGATGGGACTGAAGCAACAGGAAAAGCAGCTGTAGAATGTTAGGTCATGGAAACCGCGGAAGAGTAGTTTCAAAAGCAACAGACTCACTTACAATGTTCAGTAATATCCAGAGATTAATAAAGAGAATTCTTTCAAGTTGATAGTTCCAAAATATAAGTGATTGAATGGGAGAGTTTAAACATCTCTTCCAATGCAGCACTCTTATTGCCAAATAAAACTAGACCTATCCTAATTTAGACATGTGGAGGTCTCAATTATAAAAAGATTATTTTCAGAAAAGGAAATTTCTTCCTTTATCTAACTTTATTTCCTTATTTTGCAGGTTAAGCCACCTCATTCTCATGAAGATGGTAGCCAGATATGGCCAATGTGATAATGTATCAGGAATGGAGAAATCATCACATTGATTTCTTTTCTCTCTTCTGTCCCTAAGCCATTGATGATGGCTCTCAGCAACTTCAGCTGGAGGCTACTCCAGCCTTCTTTTTACCTAGTAGGTATTCCAGGTCTAGAGGAAAGTCAGCACTGGATAGCCCTGCCCCTGGGTGTCCTTTACTTTCTGGCTTTAGTGGGTAATGTTACCATTCTCTCCATCATCTGGACTGATTCTTCCTTGCACCAACCTATGTACCTCTTCCTGGCCATGTTGGCTGCCATTGACCTAGTCTTGGCCTCCTCCACTGCACCCAAGGCCCTTGCCGTGCTTTTGGTTCATGGTCATGAGATTGGGTACATTGTCTGCTTGGTCCAGATGTTCTTCATTCATGCGTTCTCCTCCATGGAGTCAGGTGTACTTGTGGCTATGGCTCTGGACCGATATGTAGCCATTTGCCGCCCTCTGCATCATCCCACAATATTGCATCCAAGGGTAGTAGGGCACATTGGAATGGGAGTGCTGGTGCGTGGATTACTTCTTCTCATTCCCTTTCCCATCCTGTTACAGAACCTCAGCTTCTGCCAGGCTACTATCATAAGCCATACCTATTGTGAGCATATGGCTGTGGTAAAACTTGCTTGTTCACAAACTACAGTAAATCGAGCTTATGGACTTACAGTAGCAGTGCTTGTGGTTGGGCTGGATGTTTTGGCTATTGGCATTTCCTATGCTCTTATCCTCCAGGCAGTGCTGAAGGTTCCAGGGGGTGAGGCCCGACTCAAAGCCTTTAGCACATGTGGATCTCATGTGTGTGTCATCTTGGTCTTCTACATCCCTGGACTGTTCTCCTTCCTCACTCACCGCTTTGGCCACCATGTGCCCCATCACATCCATGTTCTTCTGGCCACTCTCTATCTTCTTGTGCCACCTGCTCTCAATCCTCTTGTCTATGGGGTAAAGACTCAACAGATTCGCCAGCGAGTGCTCAAGGTGTTCTACATAAAAGAATTGATCTGAACACTTCCCAGTTATTTTCTTCAGTGGCTCCTACCATGGATACAGCCAAGAGCCCAAGGCTGGTATAAATTATGTAGATAGTGGCCATATCACAATGAATAGTTCTTCTATTCCTACTAGACCAATGTAAAGAATACCCACAGGCACTTGGCTCCATAGTCTATGAGATATATCTGGCTATCTGGATTTGTGAAATACTTTTCCATTCATTATTTTTTAAAATCCAGATCCCAGTAGTTTTCTATGCCTTTTATCAGAGGCAGTAGGAAATAGGAGAAACAGATGACTGCTCTGGATAAACCACCTTTCAAGCTGTCATCCAGTGCCTGATCATGCAATACTGTCTGGAATGAGAATGGAAAGTCTCAACCTTTGCCTACTTTCAGGTTTAGAGTGTCTTAAGACCTGTGAGTGGGCTGGGGATTTAGCTCAGTGGTTCTGGTGCCTGCCTTGCAAGTGCAAGGTCCCAAGTTCGATCCCCGGTACTGGTCAAAAAAAAAAAAAAAAAAGAATACCTCTGAGGAAGTGCAGTGAGCTGCAGATTACTGGGCTCCTGGGTAACCATAAGGTCTCTTCAAAGCAGCTCAGAAAGCCTAAAAGCATCCTTCATTGTAATGTGAATGTTATTTATTTAAAACAAATATAAGTGGGGCAGGTACTGTATATAGCAGATCCTAAAAATAATATGAGTACAGTGTGTCTCTTTTTTAAAAATTTCTTTTATTGGTACATTTTAGGTATACAATGTGTTTACATTTATCATTGGATGCTTGTACCTGTACATGATGTAT